AAATATCATTAAACGAAGAAATTTTGAAATGTATACTACAAAATATTGATCATTCCTCTTATAAGGTATGTCGTCAATGTATCCGTATTAAATATCCACAGGTAGTAACCGCTTGGGCCGGGTTTTATTTAAAAAATATTATTAAACGAAAAAATTTTAAAATGTATTCTACCAAATATTGATCATTTCTTTCAAAAGGTATGTCGTTAATGTATCCGTAATAAATATTTACAAGTAGCAATCGTTGGGACAGAGTTTTATTGAAAAAAAGTTATTAAACGAAGGAATTTTGGAATGTTTACTACTAAATATTGATCATTACTCTCATAAGGTATGTCGTCAATGTATTCATATTAAATATTNTAACCGTTGGCTCAGGATTCTATCTAAAAAATATTATTAAACGAAGAAATTTTGAGATGTATACTACAAAATATTGATCATACCTCTTATAAGGTATGTCGTCAATGTATCCGTATTAAATATTCACAGGTAGCAACCGTTGGGGCATGGCACAAAAATTAGTATATTATATACAGCTTTTTTATCTTGTTTCTAACATTTTTACAATTATTATTTTTTTGAATTAACATCAAAATTATACTTTTTACTTTTGATGAAGTGAGGTTGGGCATTGTTAATAGTAAACAATTAAACTATTAATAAGAGGACGTTTAAAGCCACCTCTTTCTTCTTGAATTTATATTGTTTACTAGTATAGTTTATTTCGTGATCTCAAGCTCTTAACCGTTATGAGCATATATAATGTTATGAGCGATGAATTTAAATTATTGCGCCAAAGAGCTTAGTCTGCCAGTCTGCACACTGCCAGACTCCATGTAATCTTACCTTTAGGGTGCCTGTTCATGGGAAACCTGCAGTCTGGAGAATGCCAGTCAATGCTTCGGCAGGCGATTTAATTTAAATTGATAGAGATTATTTTTTTTTTTTTTCTAGCATTCCGTACAACAGACACCTTGTTTTCAATGAAACTAGACTCTGAAGTCGCATTTTAATGTCAGAAATTGATTTTGGTAAAAAATTTAGAGTAATTATAACAAATGACTAGTTTTTGCTGGCAGCCTGTTACTGCAATTTTCCTGTTTACCGACTAGTCGTTTGTTATACTGACTCGAAAATTTTTTAAACTTTTTACTAAAATCAGTTTCTCAAATCAAAATATGACTTCAGAGTCTAGTTTCATTGAAAACAAGGTGTCTGTTGTACGGAATGCAAGAAGAAAAAAAATATTGATATCTATCAATTTGAATTGAATCGCCCGCTGAAGCTTTGACTGGCATTCTCCCTTAAAGAATATATACATGGAGGAAGCATTGTATGCTCCAACCGCGAGACGAGATGAGAGAGACAAAAGACAAATAGCAGTACAACCTTTCTCTCTCTCACACGCCTCTGATTGGTTGGCCCCCTTCCGTATATATAGGTATAGTCGTATCCACGAGTGGCGGTCGTGGGGGAACAGAGCAGATATATGTAACCTAAGCTCTGATAAAAAAGAACTTATACATTACCAGAGAATATAGAATATATCCTCTTCAAGTATAGAAGGCCAAAGCGGAATTCCGAGCAATACACTCTAAAACGATAATCTTCCATTACAACACAATTAAAACAACAAAATTTGAATAAAAATTTCCAATTTTAATTAAAGCCCTCAAACCTGGTTAAACAGTTTATGTATGGCTAATTACTTAGTTAGAATGTTCGTCATCGATAGCTGAGCGGTCAAGAATGCTCCATTAGCTTTTGCGCTCTGGGCTTCGAATCTGACCTATGCTTTTTTTTTTTTTTTTCAGGTATACATTTTCATAATACTTGTTTTATTACGTTTCGTTTGTTTATAATTTTTATATATTTTTATAAATAAATTTATTTTATAAGATTTCACACTTTAATAATAAGATTTAAAAACCTACTCTTGGCTAATGCCAGTAAAATACTAATGCAAAAATGTGTAAATACTTTTTGTATATTATTATTATTACAAGTGTAAATATTATTTTTTTAATTATTTACTGCATTGATCGATACGGATTTATTGGGGTTCTAATCTTACTAACATATAAAGCAGAAGCGCTAAAACCGTTGTAATCGCTAACCGCGAAAACTACTGAACCGATTTTGTTAAAATTTTGCACACTGATTCATGATACTTCCTAGATGGTTTTAGTATAGTTTTTATCTTAAAAAATTTAATAACAATAGCAATAAATGAGCTCAAAGTTTTGCAAAAATACGTCAGCTTTTCAATTTAGTTCAGTAGAATCCGCTAGGTGGTGTCGTCATAAAATCGAAGCTACCTGCAACATAATTAAATAAGTGTGGTTATAATAGGCCGGAGCGTCTCCATAGTGTCGTAGTCGACTTTCGGCAACCCAACGAGCGGTATAGAGAATGCTGATAACAGTCTTGCAGCTGGGTATCCCGGTTACGGACGACACTCTTCTCTAAGGGAGAAGGGACCTAGGTGTCCATTTACCCTAAATCTCCACGAGTGCGATAAAAAAAAAAATAATTCCAACCTATGACGTCTCTGGCATAATACCAGGAGACATTTCTAGCCAGAGTACGATCTGCAACAAATCTTCAGAGTTGTGTGGCAGTCACACCATCCCGCCTGGTGCAGTCAGAGAATTTTTGGCTACAAATGTAAGCCAGGGAAAACAGCTCTGAGCTCTGAGGGGCATGGGCAGCCACAACGGCTACCTTCTTTGTCGTCGCGTCCCCAATGCGCTTACCCACATGTTCCCGTCTAACGATGAGCGGTTGGTTATCCGGGGAACGACCCGAGACGAGATATTCTTTGGTCAGCCGCGTACCTTCCTCCATCACAGTCTCCGTACATCGAGACTCCCAGGGTAAGAATCAAGCAACCGTAGCCAGCTCTTCACCATCAGGAATAAGAATAGCCTGGAAGTTTCACCACTGGCGCTTTTTAGGGCCATTGTAAGTATTTACGTTCCCTACTTAACCATCAATTTCATTGGTTCTTTTTAGGATCCACCTAAGTGTAAACTACCTTGCCAACAAATACATTATTATTACCATTTCCGGAAGCGATTCGTCGACTAAAAGACTATATTAACTAAAGACGGGCACTATTAAACCAAGTCAGCCATTCACTAGCAGACGTCACCTGCGGAGTTGTTGTGGCAATAAAAATGTAGGGTTTAAGGTCCAGGACTTAGTTGCTCTGGTAATAAAGTTGTGAGATATGAGGAAAAAAATTTTTTTTCAATATAAATTTTTTGGGGGTTTAAAATCTTCACAGCTTTAAAAAATAGCCGTTTTCGTGAATTACACGGGAGACACTGTAAATCAACGGCTTTTTATGGCCACCAATTATTTTATGGCATAAAGAGCGCACGGTACTTTTCAGCATAATAATTTGTTTGAATTTTTACACCTCATTATTTAACCAAATAAACTATATGGATTCCGAAAAAATTTGTTTTTAATAAGAAGATTTTTATTCTGAGATGTATCAGGAATATGTGTAAAATTTCTAACTGAAAATGTTTCACATTACATGTCAACACACTACGGTGTTTTATTTAGTAAGTCTCGGGCGAATCCGAGACGGGGGGCTGCTAGTATATATGTATAGCTCAAAAGTATAGGGCATCGGAAAAAAGCAGCTTTTATATTGGGGTATGTTCTTCATTATGAGTTCTTGTTCCATTTAGCGTACTTCATTCCTNATTCCTCTTATAAGGTATGTTGTCAATGTATCCGTATTAAATAGTTACAAGTAGCAACCGTTGGGGCAGGGTTTTATCTAAAAAATATTATTAAACGAAAAAATTTTAAAATGTATACTACTAAATATTGATCATTCCTCTTATAAGGTATGCCGTCAATGTATCCGTATTAAATAGTTACAAGTAGCAACCGTTAGGGCAGGGTTTTATCTAAAAATCATTATTAAACGAACAAATTTTGAGATGTATACTACTAAATATTGATTATTCCCCTTATAACGTATGTCGTCAATGTATCCATATTAAATATTCACAGGTAGAAACCGTTCGGGCAGGGTTTTATCTGAAGAATACTATTAAACGAAAAAATCTCAAAATGTATACTACTAAATATTGATTATTCCTCTGATAAGGTATTTCGTCAATGTATCCGTATTAAATATTTACAGGTCAAAACCGTTGGGGAAGGATATTATCAAAAAAAATATTATTAAACGAAGAACTTTNTGTAATGGAAGATTATTGTTTTAGTGTGTATTGCTCGGAATTCCGCTTTGGCCTTCTATACTTAAAGAGGATATATTCTATATTCTCTGGTAATGTATAAGTTCTTTTTCATTAGAACTTAGGTTACATATATCTGCTCTGTTCCCCCACGACCGCCACTCGTGGATACGACTATACCTATATACAGAAGGGGGCCAACCAATCAGAGGCGTGTAAGAGAGAGAAAGTTTGTACTGCTATTTGTCTTTTGTCTCTCTCATCTCGTCTCGCGGTCGGAGCATACAATGCTTCCTCCATGTATATATTCTCTAAGCATTCTCCAGACTGCAGGTTTCCCATGTACAGGTCCTTAGGCTGCGATTACATGGACCAAAATAATATCCTAAACTTGTCAAATTCATGTCTAAAATTCACGTAAGACACGAGTATGACAAGTTTAGGATATTTTTTCAGTCCATGTAATCGCAGCCTTACTCTTAATTGCGCACATTCGCACCCTGTCACCCTGAGGCCTAAACCGTTCTTTTATGTTGGTGCGAAAAATACACTTTTAGGGTGAATTTTCTCGGTCATATTTTTGAATTAGCCCGGTAACTCTACGAAAACTGTTATTGAAGTTACATGTAAAGTCACCAAAACTTCTGCCATCGACCAGAAGTAGCAGAAGGGAAGGGGCAGAAGGCCATATGTGTGTACACACTTCCAGAGATTAGAATCTCTGACACTTCGTCCATGGGTCTAACAATAACAATAGGCCAAAATGTCCGCTATGTAAGGGTATTAAGATATAAGTAAGAATTGTATCACATGTAATTGTTTGGTTATAACTTGTATACATGCAGAAAAAAACAATTAAAGGTTCGGCCAACCCTTTAATCGATAAAATTTCACCCGCGCATTGAGAGTGTACCATGCACATAGAGTGTCTCAATCTCATATAGTTCTACTTCTATATAGAGGTATGAAGAGAAGCAAGAAGTTACAGCATCGTGTGTGTGACAATAAATGTATGGATATGTATAAAATGTGCTGAAATACTGAATGTACGCATACATATTACGTAGTATACGTACAATCTACCAGTACTCATTACTCAAGTACTCAGTACCCAAACCCAACTACCCACCCACACTACCTACATACGTCAATAAAAAGTGTGACCGTGCCATGCCGTTCTAACCAAAAACAGGAGAGACTAGACTACAGACGACAACGAAATACACATTAGATGTGTATATATATAGTTGGCGGCTGTTGGTGAAAAGCAGAAAGCGGAAAGCTTGTAACAACACATCGTTCTTCCACTTTTTTTTCTCCCCAAGACTCTCTCTGTTTTCGTCATCAGCTGACGCAAATGCACATCACCAGTAGTAGTTGCAGAACGCTAGCACTTGGCTGTTTCTGCTGCTGCCACCGGATGAGTTGATGCTGCGCCCGGGGCCCAAGACCCACGACGACGAGAGCTGAGCTGAGCTCTCGCGCGTATTTATAACTTTGAGCATCCACACCCAGCCTTTGGCTTATATTTTCATTCTTATCTGTGTACGTTCAATTGTAAAGATGCCGGTGCCACTTATGGATCAGCTACGTGATTACGGCTGGTGAGTGTTACTTTACTCTGTTTATGACTGATAATTATTAATAGAGAGGTTGTCCACCACTTGGCTGATGAGACGTACTTTGGCTCAGTTGCTTCGACAAAGTGCTCTATCAATTATTGTTGGAGCATCGTTTGTATCAGAGATTGGTGCTGGCATTAAATATTTCTGCGATGGCCATTTGGATTTTACTTCAAGGATTGAGCATAATAGGCTTTGTTATTGCTTTTTAGGTACCTGACGGAGCAGGGTTTGGAGATAGCCACTGACTATGGTAGCATCACCGACGCACACAAAGTCATAAAACGTGCAGTTGACGTAAGTACATAGTCCCAGCGGTGTTTTCAAATTCAAATGTGTGTGACAATAATCATGTAATGGAAAATCTATCTTGTTGTAAACAGTGCGACTTGAAAGAAATTGGGAGCGGTGAAGGAAGCTACCTGCAGAGTGATTTGGTTGTGCAGATACAAAAGCTGCGCAACATATCTGCACCAAAATACAACGAGGAGTCTCGTGGGGCTCCCAGGATGCTCAAGTTTTCCCTGACCGATGGCAAAAACAATTATCAAGCCATCGAAATTGAACATATATCCAACATCAGGTAAAAGTTATGGCAATAAAATTTTGTGCACTTGAAAACAGCCAAGGTCCACAGGCTTAACTTTATCTTGAACTGTTTTTAGTTTAAATACACCTCCAGGAACGAAACTGATAATCAAAAAGCAAAGTACTCCCTTTTTATCTGGGATCATTTTGCTGTCACCAAAAGATATAGTTCAAGTTCTTGGGGGAAAAGTATCACATATGGTTGAAAAGTGGGAACTAAACAAAGTATGTATACCTTAGACATACAATTTTTGTATTTCTTACCAACCTGTGAAAATCAATATCATTCTAGAAATTGGCTTCACACAGTAGAGTAAGATCCGTAGAGGAAGGCGGACCACCGCCATGGATTCCGTTTGGCAAGAAGATAATCAAAATAATGGAGCAGGGAAAGAACTTGAAAACTTTGTCTGAGAAAGAAAAGCCTAGCGAAGAGAACGCTGAGTTTGAGGCTCAACGCAAAAATGCCATAGCTGAAGCTGCAAAGCAGGGCAGCAGAAAAGTGTTTGGTGGTGGGAATAAGCAGGTACACATTTAAGACGCTGTACTTGTACTACGTGGACGAATTTATTTTTATTTTGTCTGATACAAACTGTCTTTCCCAGCTTTTAGATCACAGCGTTCAAAAAATTGTTGATCAAGGCTTCACGATAGAACAAGCTGAATACGCCTTGAAAGTAAATCGAAACAATGTTGACAGAGCCCTCAAATCTTTGCTAAAAACTGACAATAAGTCCAACAGGTAATCTAGTTCACGTCTACTCGAAGATCTTTTCAAATTCTTTTCTCTCGTGTACAAGAAATATTTATGCTTCATCAGCAATGCTAGAGAACCACGCGAGCTTAAAAGCAAGCGTGGTGACAAAAAATCAGAAGAGGCGGGAGGGAAGCCAAGTAGCGGCAAAATATCATTGTTTGACTTTCTCGAAGACAAACTGCCAGCGCAGGCTGAAACGATGGAGACGAGCAACTCGCATTTTTCAGATTCTCATGGAAGAGACAGGATGGACAACTATTCCGAACGTCACCACTCCAGGGGCAACGATTACTCTCAATCGAGCAGAGGTGGCGGTGCTGGTAGTGGCAGGTAAGAACTTTAGTATCGCATGTTATGTTTCTGCGACGATTTTAGATCTTTTTTTCATTTTCATTTATTTTTGATTAGAAATGCAAAAGGCAGTAGAAACTACCAAGTACCCCCAAGACACCAGGACGAAGGTAGATCCAACAAGTATTCAAACAATAACACTAACTCTACCAACCAACCTTATGGACAGTACTCTCAGAAAAATAAACCGCCAAGGTTCCAGCGCAATCAATCCTCGAATCAAAATTTACACCAGGACATGCAGAATCTGAACTTGAACCAGAACTACTCTAGTTACCAGCAGCAGCAGCCCGATCCGATCGGTACGTACAGCAAGTTCCCCCAGGTGGGTGAATTCAGAAACTCGATGCCAACGGTACCACCATTCCCGCAAAACAGACAAGATTCTGTCACGCCTCGCGATTTTCCGGGTGGTGCTTTTAAGCAGAATCTTCAGGACTACTCGGTAAGTCAAGACCTTTTTTGAAGCCAATTTTTAAAATTTCAATATGAAATTTTGCGTGACCCACAGAACCACCAGGATTACCAGACTAAAGTGGTCAACAACAGTCGCAATCAAAACTATCGGGCACCTGAGATGGATCATTCGTTTTACCAGCCCAGTTTGATGGATAACAGAAGTATGAAGGTGCCTCAGCAGCATCAGCAGCAAAACCGCTATTACAGTTCCGTGAATGACAACGTGGACTTTCAGGGTATGCCTGGTGTCAACACCCACAAAAACAGTGGTTTCCACAACAACAGCAACAGGAATGACGAGACGTTAGGCGGCACCTGGATGTGGCGAGTTGGCGACAGGTGCATGGCAAAGTATTGGGAAGACAATATGGTTGGTTGGATCACCTGTTTTTCTTTTTTTCTTATATTTATCATTGAGACTGCACGCTCAGTATGCTGTAATTGTTTCAGTATTACAACGCTGAGGTGACGGCGGTATCAAAAACCACGTGCGTTGTTCAGTTCAAAGATTTCCACAATTACGAAGAAGTTCTCCAGTTGGACTGTATACCGATCACGGATGATGTAAGTTTTGCAACTGAATCTTAAAGATTAAAATGCAGTAACGTGTATTAACGTTTTTTTACTTTTTTTAGAACGTGCAGATGCCAAGTTTGGGACTAGACAATAACCGAAGGTCGGATCATCGCTCGAACAACCGACCTCCCCGTTTCGAGCACAACCAGAACAATGTTAATTGTGAGTGTAACATAATTCAAACAGGAGAAAAAGTTAGGTAAATGAAACATTGAGATTATTGTTATTACAGCCACGGAGTATCGACGAGGTGGTAGCGGTGGTGGAGGTGGAGGGTCCGGTAGTGGTATGAAGGTCTACCGTAAGCGAGGCCAGCAGCGTACCGCTCAGCCGATATATCAGCCACCAGCACAGCGAGGCGCACCTGCTTACCTTCCTCAGAATACATAGGATTTCCTTGCCGATGTCGAGTCTACTTTAGCATTACCTTTTTTCTCTCGACGCTGAAGGCGCGAGATGTTGCTTATGTGGGTGATGTTCACCTAATTAGGTAGATAATGACAGTAGGGAAATTTTTATTGTTTTATAAAGTGATTTTTTTTTTTTCGAGCAGATGTACATTCGTGATGTTTGGGATGATAAAGTGTCTTGAACGAGTATAAAAAAAAGTTTATTTATTCAATTCGATGATTTATTACACGAGAGTTTGTATTTTTTGCTTCTTTTTTTTTATGACAGTGTTCATGATTTAAGCCTTAGGAAAGGCCAAGCTTGAAGTTGAATTTTTAATGATAGATATATTGTTGACATTTAACACAAACATCCTATACTATAATACTCACTTTGAATAACTTGAAAAAAAAAAGAAATATAAAGATAATAAAAGTGTACGACGATCTTGTTACAATTGTCTTCTTCACTGTAGGAGTTACAAACTATGACTAAAGGAAATAAAGTAGTTAGGTTGTTGATGTGAAACTTTTTACGGTCGCATTATACGTAAATGAATTACAAAAGGTATAACTTGAATGCTGTGTACTCATGCAGCGATTCGAAATAAAACGAGCAATCTTTTTCGAGTTGCATATTATCTAAAGCAATCAAAAACAGAACATAAGTGCGTACTGGCTGCACGCGCAAAAACTCAGCTCTCTGTAAGACAGGCATGAATTTTGTAATAATATTTATTAAACGAGGTTCCACGACATAGCTGTATATGTTTTCCATTAAACTAGCTTAGTGAGAGCTCGAAATGTCAATGGTGATTATTATTGATCCTTGATCATTTTTTTCTCATTGCCAAATGGTACACCTAAACAACGAGTGCCATACGCTTGCGTGTACGTCGGGAAACAATTATAAAAGTTAGTTTCTTTAGTTTTTTAAAATGATTCATAGTATTTTTTGATATTGTCAAGTCGTTATGTCCTTGCGCGGTAAAGATGATGAGAATAATTATTGAACACAATCTATCGCGATTGTTTAATGGAGCAAGCAATATTTACAACGATAAAATTGGCTTCAATGTTGTTAATGATTTTTAGTTGGCAACATTAAATTATTTTGAACAATTAAAAGACCTTTAAATTTTAGAGTAAAAAATTACAACATTCATGCGTTTCAAGAACGTTGCATGAAAAAAGAAATAAATAAATACTTTTTTTTTTTTTTTTTTTTTTTTTTTTTTTTTTTTTTTTNAAAATATTATTAAACAAAAAAATTTGAAAATGTAAACTACCAAATATTCATCATTCCTCTTATAAGGTATGTTGTCAATGTATTAGTATTAAATATTTACAGGTAGCAACCGTTAGGGTAGGGTTATATCTAAAAACATTGTAAAACGAACAAATTTTTAAATGTATACTACTAAATATTGATTATTCCTCTTATAAGGTATGTTGTCAATGTATCCATATTAAATATTTACAGGTCGAAACCGTTGGGTTAGGGTTTTATCTAAAGAATATAATTAAACAAAGTAATTTTAAAATGTATACTACTAAATATTCATCATTCTTCTTATAAGGTATGTCGTCAATGTATCTGTATAAAATATTCACAGGTAGAAACCGGTAAGGCAGAGTTTTATCTAAATAATATTATTAAACATAGAAATTTTGAAATGGATACTACTAAATATTCATCATTTCTCTTATAAGGTATGTCGTCAATGTATCCGATTTAATTATTTACAGGTAGAAACCGTTAAAGCAGAGTTTTATTCAAAAATATTATTAAACGAAGAAATTTTAAACATATACTACTAAATATTGATCATTTTTCTTATAAGATATGTCGTCAATGTATCCGTATTAAAGATTTACAAGAAGCAACCGTTGGAGCAGGGTTCCATCTAAAAAATATTATTAAACGAAAAAATTTTAAAATGTATACTACTAAATATTGATTATTTCTCTTATAAGGTATGTTGTCAATGTATCTGTTCTAAATAGTTACAAGTAGCAACCTTTAGAGCAGGGTTGTATCTAAAATATATTATCAAACGAAGAAATTTCAAAATGTATACTACTAAATATTGATCATTTTTCTTATAAGGTATGTTGTCAATGTATCCGTATTAAATATTTAC